ACATATAGTTGCAAACTTATAGCACTGACAAACGACAGACTAAACGAATGGACAATCACACGTAGACCACACGCGCACACACCATAGAGATATAATAAGGGAAGGTATAGGGTCTCATGTAAGTAGCACTGTCCACTGGAGCAGAATGAGAGAAAAGATTGCGGTACCTGTCCATCTATATACATACATTTATTTATTTACTTATTTATTCAGAACTTATTACACTTTTCGATATTGTTTAAAACACTATCGGGCCACTTATAAAAAACTGGCTAGTAGCACCTCTGACAAAGACTAATAAACAATTAGTTCACACTCGATGAGTGACAGAAAGCTACTAACTAAAACACTGCGCGAAGAAATCCTCCTTGCGCGAAGCTTTAGTTAAAACTTCTTTGTTTTACATAATGTGAGGCCGGTACTTGCTTACTTTATGTGTGCAGGCTTAGCGGCTCGCTTCGGTTGTCACTTGACACTTCCAAGAGCCACGAAGTACACATTCAGCTTTGTTAAGTGACGACTTTCGTTAAGTATGACTCTTTAAAGAGTCTTAAAATTTTATCATAAAAAAAGGGAATGAGAATGAATATGATGTAAAATAGAATAAAATAAAAAATTTATTTATTTATGCAAGTCGTCAATTAACAATTTTTAGTGAAGTGTTGGGGAAAGCAGTTTGATGATATATAAGAGAAAAGTAATGATAAGTACGACTTAGTTATGTCCATTTCAAAAAAGTTTCTTACGGAAGCTAGAATCAGACTTATGAAATTAGGACTCTCTCTTAGAATTTACTCTGCAAAAGTTGAAATGTTTTTCAAAATGGCTGAAGAAAATACAAATTTTTTTAATAATTGTTATAATTTTATAGACGTTGGTGGTGAATTTATCTGTGATTTAGAAGAAGTCAAACTATACGTAGAGAACGTAAGTATTTCTTAAAATAATCTCACTATTTTGTACAATTTTTGGCTAAAAAACTAATTACAATTACACATCCACGTATATATAGAGTTATTACATGCATATGCCTGTGGGTAACATTAATATTTTGCTAAATAAAATCCTTGCTTGTAAAAAATAACTGCAATAAATTAGTTTCCTGTTTATCATTGTGTTTGTAAGTATAAAAAAGTGGCAGGGATCACCGGCCTTACCGGCGAGGAGTGGTCCCTGAAACACGGGGCTTCTCTGGGGATGCTAATTAGTCTGGATTTGATACTTCTGTAAAGAGCGCTGGCTTAACCGGTGAGGAGCGGACGTCCTGGAATAATGGAGTCTTCTCCGGGGAAAGGCTACACAGTGGCGTGTGGACCCGATGCACCATTGGTGCAAAGAGCGCCAGGTTAACTGGCAAGGTTTGTTCCACCGGAGATACTCATACTGTGCCCATGGATTAAGGTAGGATATGAGAAAAAAGGTTGGGAAATGGGTGTGGCAATACACCCTCACACATAGGTGGTGAGTGGGTGGCCCCTGCGCCACTAGGTCAGTAGGCTGTCGTGGTAACCTGGTAGATAAAAAAAAAAAGTATAAAAAGTACGTTGGTTTTAATAAAAAAATTCGGTAACCTTTATAATTTATACCGCTGAAAATTTTTTACCAAAGTAACGTATAAAAATTTAAATCTTAGCTTTACCAAAATTTTTCTTAGAAAAGTTATTATTATTGTTATTTTTTACTAACCATGGTTACAATAAATAGAAAAACTTGATTAAAACAAGAACATTATTCCAAGAACATTTTTTCGTATGTTTACCATGTTTTGTAGTAGCTAGATCAGATTTTTATTTAAAGTTACGTAAAGGCTAGTTCATGTTGCAACGTCGTAGTGTAATAGGTGATTGAATTTACTTAGTCCGTGCAATTTGTAAAAGCCTTTCTGATATTGTTAAAAGAAATAACGACTTCTTTAAATTAATGTTATAAAATAAACATGCACAACATTTATGTAAGAGATACACATATACTTCAGAATTATTAAACAAAATTATCTTAAGCCATCGTTAGAATATTATAGACCACATTATGAAACAGTCGTAAAAAACATTGTTACTTGTATTTTTACTTCTTTGTTTCCATGCACTACATAATCTACATAATATACAAATTTCTTATAGTAGATATAAATAGATAATTCTACTCATGTCGTCGTAACATTAAAAATTCTGTTGAATGACTTACCATCATTTAACCGTGCCTTTGATAAAAAATTAAAGGTTGTGGATTTCAGTCTCACGCTCCTCCATATGCTGTGGGACCAGCGGACAATCCAAATATTTGCCAATTTACTATTTAAGAATGGTAAAAGAGAGAGAGAGAGAGAGAGAGAGAGAGAGAGAGAGAGAGAGAGAGAGAGAGAGAGAGAGAGAGAGAGAGAGAGAGAGAGAGAGAGAGAGAGAGAGAGAGAGAGAGAGAGAGAGAGAGAGAGAGAGAGAGAGAGAGAGAGAGAGAGAGAGAGAGAGAGAGAGAGAGAGAGAGAGAGAGAGAGAGAGAGAGAGAGAGAGAGAGAGAGAGAGAGAGAGAGAGAGAGAGAGAGAGAGAGAGAGAGAGAGAGAGAGAGAGAGAGAGAGAGAGAGAGAGAGAGAGAGAGAGAGAGAGAGAGAGAGAGAGAGAGAGAGAGAGAGAGAGAGAGAGAGAGAGAGAGAGAGAGAGAGAGAGAGAGAGAGAGAGAGAGAGAGAGAGAGAGAGAGAGAGAGAGAGAGAGAGAGAGAGAGAGAGAGAGAGAGAGAGAGAGAGAGAGAGAGAGAGAGAGAGAGAGAGAGAGAGAGAGAGAGAGAGAGAGAGAGAGAGAGAGAGAGAGAGAGAGAGAGAGAGAGAGAGAGAGAGAGAGAGAGAGAGAGAGAGAGAGAGAGAGAGAGAGAGAGAGAGAGAGAGAGAGAGAGAGAGAGAGAGAGAGAGAGAGAGAGAGAGAGAGAGAGAGAGAGAGAGAGAGAGAGAGAGAGAGAGAGAGAGAGAGAGAGAGAGAGAGAGAGAGAGAGAGAGAGAGAGAGAGAGAGAGAGAGAGAGAGAGAGAGAGAGAGAGAGAGAGAGAGAGAGAGAGAGAGAGAGAGAGAGAGAGAGAGAGAGAGAGAGAGAGAGAGAGAGAGAGAGAGAGAGAGAGAGAGAGAGAGAGAGAGAGAGAGAGAGAGAGAGAGAGAGAGAGAGAGAGAGAGAGAGAGAGAGAGAGAGAGAGAGAGAGAGAGAGAGAGAGAGAGAGAGAGAGAGAGAGAGAGAGAGAGAGAGAGAGAGAGAGAGAGAGAGAGAGAGAGAGAGAGAGAGAGAGAGAGAGAGAGAGAGAGAGAGAGAGAGAGAGAGAGAGAGAGAGAGAGAGAGAGAGAGAGAGAGAGAGAGAGAGAGAGAGAGAGAGAGAGAGAGAGAGAGAGAGAGAGAGAGAGAGAGAGAGAGAGAGAGAGAGAGAGAGAGAGAGAGAGAGAGAGAGAGAGAGAGAGAGAGAGAGAGAGAGAGAGAGAGAGAGAGAGAGAGAGAGAGAGAGAGAGAGAGAGAGAGAGAGAGAGAGAGAGAGAGAGAGAGAGAGAGAGAGAGAGAGAGAGAGAGAGAGAGAGAGAGAGAGAGAGAGAGAGAGAGAGAGAGAGAGAGAGAGAGAGAGAGAGAGAGAGAGAGAGAGAGAGAGAGAGAGAGAGAGAGAGAGAGAGAGAGAGAGAGAGAGAGAGAGAGAGAGAGAGAGAGAGAGAGAGAGAGAGAGAGAGAGAGAGAGAGAGAGAGAGAGAGAGAGAGAGAGAGAGAGAGAGAGAGAGAGAGAGAGAGAGAGAGAGAGAGAGAGAGAGAGAGAGAGAGAGAGAGAGAGAGAGAGAGAGAGAGAGAGAGAGAGAGAGAGAGAGAGAGAGAGAGAGAGAGAGAGAGAGAGAGAGAGAGAGAGAGAGAGAGAGAGAGAGAGAGAGAGAGAGAGAGAGAGAGAGAGAGAGAGAGAGAGAGAGAGAGAGAGAGAGAGAGAGAGAGAGAGAGAGAGAGAGAGAGAGAGAGAGAGAGAGAGAGAGAGAGAGAGAGAGAGAGAGAGAGAGAGAGAGAGAGAGAGAGAGAGAGAGAGAGAGAGAGAGAGAGAGAGAGAGAGAGAGAGAGAGAGAGAGAGAGANATATGTATGTACATGTATGACATACTTTTGAGTTCAAAGTAGCACTTGTGCTTATGGCAAACTGCAACTGAGCGTATAATACAGAGGTATATGGATCATAAAGATAAACACGTGATGGTCAATGGCACCTTATATGTCGCTACCTCATGCACTATCTCTCTGTTCCGCTCCTTCCCTCTTTTTCTTTTGCTCTTACTTCTCACCTATAATAGTTCTGTACATGTGAAAACATCACGGGCACACACTAGGCTTAGCGGGGCTTGTCACTGATTCTTCTGTAGCTATCGTCAGTTGATCAAGCATTCATATATACCAATGTCGACAACTTTTACCACTGTGAACGCCGCCTTACATAAAATGTTTGATTTTTTTTGCCTCTAACCCGTACTTCTTGCTAATTTTTATTCTTAAACCTGTAATACTAGCAACTACAGTAGTATTACAATCTGTTTCGCATGTATTTAAGTATTTACGTAACTTCTTGCACTTGATGATTTGTAAAGTTTAATATACTTTGCACTTTTTATTTTGACTTTCTGTCAGTCTTTTCTCTTATCTCTATACTAAAGGTTAATGTGCTCATGTCTAATCAGTTAAGAAGTTTTCCACTTTCTATGCTTTGTAAACTTATTTTGCCTAATTTATTTTTTTTCTCCAAAAAATTAGAACTAGTCTGTCATGATCCATTCTTTATTTGCGATGTATCTTGGTGCACTAAAGTCTAATATTAAAACTCATCTACAGTAGTATAAATGTAATTTTTTTAGTTCTCTTCTTTTCCTTCCTTGCCAGTTTCCTACTTTATACGGCAACAAACTTCTGACTTAAAATTAATAGCATTTTCCTGTAGTACGGCAGCTACAGAATTTTCGTGGCCAATTGACTTTCACTAGACTAAATAAGCGTTTTTGATGTATTTTTGCCTGCAGAATCCAAATCTTAAACTCGTTTTCTCATAATGTTGTTTATAAAAATTTTATTTACAATTCGAATGTTTATGACGCTATACAAAACAGTTGGAATTGTATTTCAACAAATTAACTATAAATGTTGATAACTAATCTTGTAAGAAATTTACCTAGTCAAGAATTTTCACAAAATATTGAATTATGCCTGAAATATTCCGAATTTAGTGCAAAAATATTGAAGAATGGCGAGTTTTTCAAGATTTTTGCTCATAACTTGGCTTCTGATTGATGTATACAGCTTAAATGCCCCTTATTTTACAGCTAAAAATTAAAGTTTTCTTATAAGTTGTAGTAGAATCCCTAAATAAAGTTTACTCCCCTGGTAGAAAATTACTACATGAACTGGCTAAAAACTCGTCATTGTACATGCGTAAATAGGCTGATAACATGTTGAAGAGTTTCTAGCCAGTTTATGTTGTAACGTTTCTACCAGGGTCAGAATGTTTTATCACTTTATAGTTACAGTGTTGCATGTGAACAAGCTAATTAATTTGTTTACAATCGTTTTCACTATAGATACACAAAAAATATTTGCAAACTTGTTTTTTACAGCTACAGTACGATTGAAAACAAACATTTTACGACTTAAAGAAAGTAATTAAGTTAATTCTCAATATGACAATAGGCAGCTTACTTCCTGAATAGGACAAGAGTCCGCAGTACTTACAAATCTATTTTATGTCTGAATCAGAACAAACCTCTATTCGGTCAGATAATGCCCTAAAAAAAAATTTGATTGAATCATTACGAAAAATCATGCATAATTGAAATCTGCTTATAAAAACTTTTGAAACCAATTATTATTCTCGAATAGTAGATGAATTTGAAAACTTGAAATTGATTATGCATGTCGACCAAAACCTTGTTAAAGATCATCGAGGACGAT